GGTGGCACAGCTGGAGTTGGCCCCAGAAGAAAGGCTAGAGGAGATCAACGCACAAGAGGCACCGCGAGAAGAGGGAGCGGGAGTGAGACGGTAGCGAACTTCGGACCGGGAGCGCGGTGCTTCAGGAGAGCGAATGGAGTCAGGTCCCCTGCGGACAACGGCGGGGCCCCGCGCCTGCTCCGTGGCCTGGCTCGGCTCAGCCGGGCCACTGTCCAGGGCCACACTGCACCGAAGGGCCGGCTGACGGGGCCGGGTGGCTCCGGCGGAGGACACTTCTGGGGAAGCGGCGGCCAGAAGGCCACCCGAGGAGCCGAGCCCGGCGGCGGCAGCAGCCTGAGGGTGTCCTCGAGAATCCGGAATCCTGAGGGGGAACGGCGCCAGCCTGCCTACCTGCTCGCCTCCCACGTCAGGATAGCAGGAGACTTGCCGCTCCGCGGGGTGCCGAGTACCCACAGCCCAGTCGGGTCGCTGCGGTCGCGCCCGCGGATTCAAATGCCGAGGGTTGGATCAGCAAGGCCAATCAGCGTGCGACCCGGGCGGGCTCGCCAATAAGAAGACTTTCTGCGCCAGCCCCGCCCCCTCCCGCACCTGCCATTCCGCTTCCGGGTCGGCGGTATGCTTGATGTGGCTGGCGATGCGAAGACCACAGCGTGTCGGAGGACAACCTCCGCTCCGGGATGGGCCGGGGTCGCGGGAACCACCACCGTCCCGGGGATCTCAGCCTCTGCTACGACTGGGCTGCACGGCATGGCCGCAGCCTGAGATCCGCTGGCTTGGGCTAAATTTCCCCAGCTGTAAAATAGGACCAGATGTAGCGATGTAGCGCCACCAACAGGAACGCCTGTGAGGAGGGTCCGCGCCCTCGTGGGATCTGTCGCGGCGGCTCACGGCTTTTGGTCGCTCGCAGAGCTTAGAGGCATCATTTCTCAGTGTCCCTTGGCCGCCAGGCGGCGGGACCCCATTTCCCAGAATGTCCTGCGGGCGGCATGACTGGGACGCCGGGGGAAACTCCATCTCCCAGAGTGCCACGCGGTGGCCGGGCGGGGCTGCCACAACGGACGGATCCGGGACCGATCCTCTGGCTTCTCGCTCGCGCCCGGGCGGTGGGCATCGCCGGACGGCCTCCTGGCGGCGGTGTCATGGACAGCCCTGAGGTGACCTTCACGCTGGCCTACCTGGTCTTCGCCGTATGCTTCGTGTTCACGCCGAACGAGTTCCACTCGGCCGGGCTTACGGTGCAGAACCTGCTGTCTAGCTGGCTGGGCAGCGAGGACGCCGCCTTTGTGTCCTTCCATCTGCGCCGCACGGCTGCCACTCTGGTGTGCCACTCGCTGCTGCCGCTGGGTGAGGCGCTGTCTACCAGGTCCCCGCCGGGATTAGGACCCGGAAGCTCCCTGCATCCAGCTGCGGGGGCAGCTGGGCCAGCCAGGCGTCGGCAGCGGGCGCCAGGCTTCCCTGGAGTGGGCGACGCCGCCAGAGCTGGCTTGCAAAGGGCAGAAACCCAAGTTCAGGACCCTGGGCAGGGGGTGCCCCGGCCTCCTGGGCTCACGTCCTAAACCACCATCGTGGCTTGGGGTCGCAAGATGGGCAGCCTTTGTTTGCGGGGGTTGCAGGCGCCAAGAAACTGATTCCAATCTAAGGGATCGGATGGGCTCCCCGGAGGGCAGGTTTGGGGAGGGCAGGCAGAGATTGGGGCAGTTCCAGTCTGAGGGTCTCAGGTGTGGAGGCTGCAGGACGGCCTCTGAGTGCTATAACCTGGGTCGTAGCGGGCACTAGCTGGTTGGAGGATGGGGGTACCAGGTGGGAGCTCTCTGGAGGACACAGGCAGATGCAACTGGCCCTTGGCTTGCCACAGCTGCAGCTCTGTGGACACAGGAAGGGTTTCTCACTGGTGTGAGAACACAGCAGCCTGAGTTCCCCAGAGCTGGAGGCAGGTGAGGAGTGGAGGCGCCCAGGCCTGCTTTGTGGGGAAGAAGGCAGGCAGAGGGGGGCCCACTTGAGAGATAGACGCTGGAATGGCCTGATGGTCACTCAGCCTGAGGATCCAGCACCCTGTGAGGTGGGTAAGGAAAGTGGGACTCTGAGGGGGTTCCCTGGCCAGGTTGCTCCCCTGAGACCTGTGGGGTGGGTTTCTGTAGCCCCTCTAGCTGCACCCTCCCCACAGGCCTGTGAGGGGCTGGGCACCCCAACCCACCAGTGGGAAACCCAAACTTAGGGAGCACAAGTGACTCACGGGGGCCACACCCTGAGCAGACTGCAGAGCTGGCCTCAGCCCATTGTCAAGCTTTTTTTTATTTTTAACTTACTAAGGAAAGCTCTCAAGCTTTGTAGATCTATTAGTTACTTCTTATTACATAACAGATTACCTTAAAATATAGTGGCCCAGTCTTCTCCAAAGTTTACTATTTTTTTGAAACTGGAACCTGCCTGTGTAACCTCTGGGCATCTTTGATGTTTATTTTGACCTTCAAATCATCCCGATCTGGCCAGCTGGGCCCTGCAGCTGGCTTATGTGCCACATGCCATGGTTCTTTGAGCGCTTGCTTTCTCACACACAACTTTCCAGCTCTGGGGTGGACCACATCTGATCTGCTGCCTCAGGTGGGCAGATTGAGAGGCCAAGATCTGGCCTAGGGAACTGCTCCCAGCAGCCAGGGCTCAGCTCTCCGTGAGGTGCCACCAGATAATTGTGTGTATTTTTGCCTTTCTTGGCTTTTGTGGTTTTTCAATACTCATTTATTAATTGTGTAAAACTAAAGTAGTAAATTAAAATATTCCCCCAATACAATCATACCACTGCTGTGGGCAAGGGCTCAGTGGGAGCTGACCAGGCCGGGAGGCCACGTCTAGGGTTGGGGATGAGAGAGGAAGTACCCCCCCACCCCCAGGTACAGGGATGGTGCTGTGGCCCTGGGATGGGCACAGCTAGGGGCAGGACAGTGGCCTGGCAGTCCCAACCTCCCCTGAGGCTCACCTCATCCTTTGCAGGCTACTACGTGGGCATGTGCTTCGCAGCCTCAGAAAAGCAGCTCTACTCCCCCAGCCAGGCCCCGGAGGCCTGGCGGCTCTTCCTCCTGCTGGCTGTGACTCTCCCTTCCCTCGCCTGCACCCTCATCTACTACTGGTCCCAAGACCAGTGGGCCCGCCACCCGCTGGCCCGCACGCTGGCGCTCTATGCCCTCCCGCAGTCAGGCTGGCAGGCTGTTGCCTCCTCTGTCAACACTGAGTTTCGGCGGATTGACAAGTTTGCCACCGGGGCGCCAGGTGCCCGTGTGATTGTGACAGACACGTGGGTGATGAAGGTGACCACATACCGTGTGCACGTGGCCCAGCAGCAGGATGTGCACCTGACTGTAACAGAGTCGAGGCAGCATGAGCTCTCGCCAGACTCCAACCTGCCCGTGCAGCTCCTCACCATCCACGTGGCCAGTGCCAGCCCTGGTGTGCAGGCTTTTGACATCCGGTAAGAATCAGGTAGCCTCCGGTAGGCCTGGCCTTCCTGCCCCCTGGGAGGTGCTGGGAGGTGCTGGGAGGTGCTGGCCTGTATGGTACCAGGCCAGGTGTCTGTGGTATACTGGACACTGATCCCTCAAGTATCATCCTCCCTCAGGGTCCCCTCCGACCCCTGTGCTCTCAGCTTCTCCTGAACTCTCTCTCACAGACCTTGGGGAGCACTCTGGAGACAGTTCGGTATTACAGGCTTGGTGGCTGCCTTGGCTCCCAGGTCTTCTGTCCCATGACTCAAACTGTGTGGTGAGCAGGGACTGGGGCTCTGGCCTCAGGGCCATCTTTCTGGGTTTGGTGGGGTGGCCACCCATGTCCCCTTGGGGGTGCAGCTGTGGCTTCCCCTCTTCCTGCCAGCCTCAGGGTCCTGGCTAGGGTGCAGACAGAGGGCCGTGCCTCTCCCCAGGCTGAACTCCGCGGAGTACGGGGAACTGTGTGAGAAACTCCAGGCACCCATCCGCAGCGCAGCCAACGTGGTCATCCACCAGAGCCTGGGTGACCTGTTCCTGGAGACGTTCGCTTCCTTGGTAGAGGTCAACCCAGCCTACTCGGTGCCCAGCAGCCAGGTGGGGGGCTGGCCAGGGTGGGAGGGTGGGCTCCCAGGCCGTCCCTGGGCTCTGCGTGATCCTTTGCCTGCCCACAGGAGCTGGAGGCATGCATTGGTTGCATGCAGACACGCGCCAGTGTGAAGCTGGTGAAGACCTGCCAGGAGGCAGCCGCAGGCGAGTGCCAGCAGTGCTACTGCCGCCCCATGTGGTGCCTCACCTGCATGGGCAAGTGGTTCGCTAGCCGCCAGGACCCCCAGCGCCCCGACACCTGGCTGGCCAGTCGAGTGCCCTGCCCCACCTGCCGTGCACGCTTCTGCATCCTGGACGTGTGTACCGTGCGTTGAGCACCCAGGTGGGGCCATGGGGTCCTGGCCTGGCTCTGCACCCCACCAGCCATGGTGGGTATGGCAGGAGGGAGGAGTAGCCAGGCCAGGCCTCCACTTGCAAAGGGCTCTATTCAAAGCACATGATCTACAGCAACTGCCTGAGTGCAGAAGGCTGAGGACTTTTGTTTAAAAGAAATTCTCATGCAAACACTTCCCCCAGTGACAGTGGGATGGGTCTTCACACCTCTTCGCCTCCTTCCACCTTCCTCCAGGTAGGGGCAGGTACTGGACACAGAGAACACAGCATTGGGCCATCCCCAGAGCTGTCCTCTGGGAGACCTTGGGGTCTGCTCCAGATAGTCCTCACCTGGGCCACTTGCCTTAATTTTCTGCAGCACCCCTGCCCCTCTGTTATGTGCCAGACTCAGATTTGCCCAGGTGGCTGTGGTCTATTCTCCCACTAATGTCCTGGAGCCGGCCACTGGCCCTGTGGTGTAGGGCCCCCCTCCCCAGCCACAGGGGCTGCTTGGAAGACCATGGGCAGAGCCAGATGGTGGAGGTGGAGAACAGAGGTGCTACTCCAGTGTGGGAGCACTCCTGGTGGTGCTTCCTGGTGGCCGTGGCCAGCCAAGGGGCCCCTCCTGGTGGGGTGGTGATGGGAGGGCAGGCCAAGGCAGCCCCACTCATTAATGGGACCACATACCCCTGGAGGGACATTTGCTCTGTCCTTGGTGCTTTCTGCTGCCCCCACAAGTCTAGGGAAGGCTGAGGTCTCAGACTCCTGGCCAGGGCAGGGGTTGAGCTGAGGAACAGAGCCACCACAGCAACACCCAGAAAGCAGTCCTACCAGGGGTACGCACAGGGCTGGCCACTGCCCCAGGCTGCCTGGTGCAGAAGGGGATGCCCTCCGCGGTCAAAGCTCTGACTGGCATCTCGTCCAATTCCTGAGCGTTCAGGTGGAGGGAGGGTCGGGGAAGATGCTGGCCAGGCTCTAGGGTGCAGCTCTGACACAGGTGGAGGAGGGCCCTGAGACCTGTGGCCCTAAAAACCCTAAACTTGGCTGTTTCAAGGAGGGGTGATGGCCTCAGCTGGCATGACTTACCCAAGGCTGCACCTGACTCCAGGGATTTGGGAGCAGAGAAAGCTCAGCTTTGTGGGACTCTTTGGAGCACTCGGGGGCAGTGGCCAGGAGTCAGATTCAGCCTCAGTCCAGAGTTTCAAGGGCTAGGAGAGGCCAGTGGTTTGGGGTTATTTTTACTACAAAAGAAGTTACCTAATTTTATAAAGACAAATCTATTATAGTTAAATAATGCAGTATTTAATAAAATGTTAGTTTGAAGTGATATACTGTATTTCACTTTACTTGTTGTTAAAACTGAGCTTTTGGCCAGGTGAGGTGGCTCATGCCTGTAATCCTAGCACTCTGGGAAGCCAAGTTGGGAGGATTGCTTGAGGCCAGGAGTTTGAGACCAGCCTGAACAAGAGCAAGACCCTGTCTACAGAAAATAGAAAAATTAGCTGGGTGTGGTAGCATGTGCCTGTAGTCCCAGCTACTCAGGAGGCTGAGGCAGGAGGATCTGCTTGAGCCCAGGAGTTTGAGGCTGCAGTGAGTTATGATGATGTTTCTGTCACCCACTCCAGCCTGGGTGACAGACACAAAATCTGTCTCAAAAAAGAACCAACTGTCTCAAAAAATAAAACCAAGCTTTTGTAACAGTTGGAAAGTGGCTGTGAGATGTTGGAGAAGCCATCTTAGAAGTAGAATTGTGCACACTTCAATGGTTGTGGTTTGTTCAGAGTAAGGAAGAAAAACACATTGGTTGGGAGGCTGGTGCTGCAGGAAACTTCCGCTCTGATTTCTAGTTGGAGGCCCCAGGGCCACCTGCAGGAGCAGGGTAGGAGGCAGCCTCCTGGGCCTGGCTGTCTGGTAGAGGGGCAGTGGTTGATCCTTTCCTGTGTGTTGGAAGCCTGGGCCCTTGGAGGTGTCCTGCCGTGTGTTATGGGGGATGGGGAAATCACTGTGTGGTTGCTTCCAGATGCAGGAGCTGTTGGGGGCGCACACTGGTGGCCAAACAGTGAGTGGCCCCTGCTGATCCACTCTTGTGCTTGTAGCTGTGTCCTGTGGGGACATCAGGTCTATCTCTGTTGACCTTGCTATGGGTCAGGGTGGCCCAGGAATCACCAGCTGAGCACTGAGGCAGCGAGACAGTACCTGCGGTTAGAGAGCTCATCCCTGGTTCTCACCCTGACCCAGGCTCTCTGGGTAGCACCCCAGGATTCCCGATGGCACTGGGCAGTGCCACCCCAGGGCCTCCCAGTGTGTACCGCAACGGCCAGAGAGTAAGTGCTAGCTGCTGTTTCCCCCATCTTGTTCCCCGTGTAGGAGTGTGAACTTAAAAGGAGCTCATGGTACAGATGGGAGAAAAATTTCTCACACAAAGATTAGGATAGGAAAAAGAAAAAGTTTATTTTACTTTTTCCAGATGGAAAAAGGGCAAACATAGAGGTGAAAGAGGGAGGTGTGTTGGGTGTAGAAGACCGGTTACGCAGGCTTTTTATTTAGGGGTTGTAAAGTCGGTGAAGATGATTTATGTCTGTATCCCAATTAGCTGGGTACTGCTGTATCCACTTCTCTTTTTTCTTAGTGGTGGGCTGATAACAGAAGCAGTTGTGAGATGTCAAAGGTCTCCTCAGTGATCTTGCCTTTGAGATTTGTTTTTTGGGCAGGAAGTGGGGCCTGAAGCTCCCACCCCAGCTGGAGCTCAGGAACCCTTCAAGACTGTAAAGCAGTAGATCTGGTGAATGTAAAAGAATTTGCATTTCCTTTTTGTCTGCTCAGCTCTTTTCAGATGTTGTGAAAACAGAACTCTGTGGGGTGCCTGTTAGCAAGAGAGCTCATATGAATGATCTTAGCCTTTACTGAGAAAATAGATAATTTTTTGGTTTTTTTTTTTTTTTTTTTTTTTTTTTT